ACATGGGCTGGAGTGGTGGCAGTGCCTAGGACAGAGAGAGACGGTTGTGGGGACGGAGAGGCCCAGAAACAGACTGGCCTGCTGCATGAAGACTTGCTCTGGGGCGGATGGGATTCTAGCGATTGACCTGCCACCATGAGAATGAAGCTGGGTATAAACCCTTTGACCCCAAGAACATTCCATTTTTCAGTCTCACTGAATCAAGAGTGAAATTGCCTGGGGCTGAAACCCACTGGCAAGACAGGGTAGAAGAAGGAAATGCCAAGATTTCCCCTGCTCTTCTGAGAAGTAAGATGATTTCCCAGCCTAGAAGACTGGCAGTGTGAGGCATTTTCTGTCTTGCAGTGTGAGCTCTGCTGCCCAGCTCAACCAGTTCAGGTAACTGCTGCTACCATCTCTGTCCTGACACCTTTTTGGTCTTCTGAATATCTCAGAGCACTTCTCATTCAGCTGTAGGGTAATTCCATACCAAGAGGCATGATTTCCTGCTTAGATACTTAGAGTTAATGGTTCTCAAACATCTGGCTGCATATTAAGATCACCTGGGAGGTACTACCTCCCCGCTACCCAGTGCCCTTACCCCACCCGTGACGTTAAATCAGCAGGCCCAGGAGTGGACCTGGGTGCCAGTATAAAGCTCCCCAGGTGATTCCAAGGTGCGCTTCAAGTTGGAGCCACCTGTGTAGAATCATTCAGGTTTTGCTCACCTGAAATCTCCCTAGGAAGACTTAGACCCACGCTCTGAAAGAGTCTGCTTTCTCTTTCTCCTGAGCGCCTACTGATGACAAACTCCATGATAGTTATTTGTGGGATTTTATTGTCTAACTTCTTAATTGGTAAGTTCTGTACATCATTTAATCATCTGTCTTGCTCACCACATCTCCAGCATGTCACTGGCCCTGGCATCTTAATCATTGAACCTCCATTTCCACCTTTGCAAATGTAGTAATTATAGGATTTAGCTCCACCTGGCTCATAGGTGTCACTCATTCTAAGGTGGCTCAATGAATGAATACATTGGTAGGAAGCAGTTTTTAGACATTGTGTAATCCATTCCACAGCTTGTGGTGAATGAATAATGTCTGTAAGATTGCAGATAAGAGTGTGTCAGAGTGGAAACTCGCTCTAACTTCAGGCTTTGGGGGGAAAACCCTCCTGTTAGGGAATTGGTACTGTCCCTCAAAGTCGCTCTTAAGATGGCCCTGCAGAGTGTGGTGCACAGTGCCATCTGCTGGACAAAATGTAAAACTGGGTTTATTCTTCTAAGATCCGGGAGGGTTGGTTCAAAGCAGCTCTTGGAAAAATAGCAGGCAAGCCTCATCCTGGACACACTCACCAGTTGGGTGTGCACTATCATGGATGTGAGTGTAAATGTGTGTGTGTGTGCATGCGTGCATACACATGTGTGTAAAATGGAGACAGTGATTGAAATTTTACCTAACACACAAATGCAAAACCAAATCCCACCACTCTTTAAGGATTGATTCAGGCAGTGAAGAATCTCTGGGTTTGAGCCAAAATCGTCAAACCTAAGATCTTCAAATAACTCTAAAAGGTAAAAAATGCCAAGCTCGAACTCCATGGGAGATACTGCTTTCTTTCAACATCTGTTGTTCTGAGGCTAGACTGAGGTGACCACATAAAGGGCTAATTTGTGGTCTTTGATCAGTTTCCTGGAGCTGAGATGACAGAGGGCCCAGCTGTTAGACGAGCTATTCCAAATACTTAAGTGGGTTTTCAAATGTTTACCGTATGTTCATTAAACTTTAGATTGGTTGGGTTTTTTAATGCTGTAACCTAATCTTTAGAGTAAAAGCTCCATAATCTCTCAGTCTCTCTCTCTCTGATACACACACATCACATACCACACACACAGGATTCAATATATTTAGAAGATTCTCTTAGACCCTTTGTAGGGAAAATGAAAGATCCTATGACCAAAATCCTCACCTGACCCTAAACTACTTGATGCTGTAATTGGCCTACTGATAGGCTAATGCTTCCACACCTGTTGGCAATGAGCCATTATTGTCTGTGTTACTATACACAGAGCTCTGCCCGGATGCAGAGGGGAAGCCATATACCGATTGCAGACTTGCCAGAGGCAGACGTGATTCCAGCACTTGACCTGCCAACCTGAGAATAAAGCTTGGTATAAACCCTTTTATCCCTAACATTCCATTGTTATTTGATCTCACCAAATCCAGAATGAACTTGCCCGGGGCACAGTCCCCCTCAGGAGAGACACCCTTACAAGAGTATCATTTTCCATTTCAGCCTGAAAATAGTGGACAAGGCCAGAAATAATCCCTGGGAGAGCTAAGATTATTTAACCAAGAGTGGAAAAAGTTGATTTAATAGAAACTTCAAATAAAGACCAGGCCTTGATTTGATAGAAACAGGACAAAAATGTGTGTGGGCTAGTCACGCTCTAATGACGGATCCCACTTTATGCGGGTGTGTTCAGGGGACATCACATTACCCTGTGGGACTGCAGAGCATGCTTTAGCAAGAGTTCTAAGATCTACCAAGAACCCTTCTGCCCAATATGGGCCAGCTGTTGTCCAAAGTGCAGAGGTGCTAACAGAGTCAGCTTACAGCGTGGCTGGAGGAACTAAATTAAGTATCAGGAAGAATTTCCCCACAATGAGCTCTTAGACTCTAAACCAAGGGATGGAGAGAAGCAGTGATATGTCCTTTTCTGTGAGACTTTTCAAGATATGACAGATTCTCATTTGAGATTTCTGGGACCTGAGATTCTCAGGAATTGGAAGCAATAAAAAAAATAAGTAAACGCTGTAGTTGGCCTATGAATATTTAAAGAGTACTGCTGGTCTATGTCAGGCCCAGTCCTGATCCCTGTGGCAAGTCAAGTCTGTGCCCGACCTGGTCCTGACCCTCTTCAGTGGGAAGGGGGCAAGGAATGATGCAAAGAAACAATAAGCACCCTGGAAGAGGTTGCTTCTCAGGGGCATGGCCAGGGTGTCCTTGACTCGCGGCCAGAAGGATGGGTCAGAGTGTGTTTGGCAGGACCGCTGGCAGGGAGGTGAGGCAGGGGCAGCAGGCAATGCTGGGAACGAAGACCCAGACCTAGGAGACGCAGGTCAGACTGTTGGTATAGAAAGGATGGTGGGTCACGAGGGCTGGAGAAGAGGTGTGGGGGAGAGTGGTGACAGATCAATCAGCAAAGGTGGCCGCAGGTGGCCTCAAAGGCCAAACAAAGGTATTTGGACTTTGTTCTTTGAGCAACAGGATGTTAGTTACGACTTTCAAGATGCCAGTGGTCAAAAGGAATGGTGTGGTGGCATGACCCAAGTGTGTTCTGTGCCTATGTTTTATCCCGCTGGGTGTTGGGTCTTGAGAGGTCCCCTCTGTCCCAGCACACCTGGGATCAGATGAGGGGGAGAGTGCTGGGGTCTCCTTCAGCAGAACAAGCAGCTGTGACTCAGGGAGATGCCATGTCCCACCAAACATGCCCACAGCCCAGATCAGAAGGCGTCATCACCTTAAAGGGTCATAAACGGCTTCCTACTTCATTATGTCTATACATTATAATTTTATGCAAATAATAACCCTCTGTTCTAGACACTAAGATGTCTGCAAATGCTGTGCTATTTTTCTGGGAGGAATACTCTTCCTTGTGTTTTCAGTGTGGTTTATCTTCCTTAGTTTCGATTTTTACCTACCCTGTGCTCCTTCTGATAGACCTAGTGTGATTTGGAACCATTTTAAACTGAAATCCTTCCAGGATTTCTGGGATAAGAGTAACAAAGTGATTAAAGTTGGGCTCCTGAGCCAGACTTCCTGGGTACATATCCTAAAAACATATAGTGGGCATATTACTTTCCCTCTCTAGGCCCATTCCCTATGCCTCTACAGCAGGCATAATAACAGTACTTACTACCTGATAGGGTTGTGAGGATCAAGTGACCTAACACACATCGAGTGATTACAACAGAGTGTAACACAGAGTCAGAGGCCAGTAAATGCTCCTTTCATCATTTTGCTTCATGTACTTGGGTCAAAGTCAGCCTCTTTCGAGAACACACACCTGCCTCCCAGCTGGCTTGCTCTGATTCTTGGGACAACAGCCCTCTCTTGGCAGGCCCCCACTACCTCCTAGACCCCAGGTCCTGCCCTTTGCACTCCATACTCAGCAGTACCAAACTTGTCTTCCCAGTCACATGTGCTCTTCATACTTTAGTACCCTCACACATACAATGCCAGGAGGTTTTACAGCTCCTTTCCATCCTTCAGACCCAGCAGAGGGGGCACCTGCCTGTGAAGACTGCCCTGCTCTCCACACGGCTCTCCATCATGCCCCCAGCCACCCCAGGAGAGAGTTCTGTCCCCCGTGATGGCCTGGACCCTGCCCATATTGCTATCGCCGTGTCACCCTGTGGGCAATTTCCTCTTTATAGGCCTGTCTCCCCCGCTGTGCCTCAAGCCCCCTTGGGGACCTCGTCTTACTCATTCTGTATCTGGAACCCTGGGCACAATGTGAGACAGAACAGGCACACAGAGTCACTAAGCAGCACACCATGAAGCTTCTGGCCTAGTTAGCAGCTCCACAGGCCTGTAGGAGGCAAGGCCCATGAGGGGCAAGGAACAAGATAAATAAATACAAAATCATACAGAGCTGGTAAGTACAAAGTGTAGATGCTGAAAATGAGATGCAGTGAATTTGAGTCTGGAGATAATGAAAGCAAAGACCTGGACTTGAAGAGAAGGTAGAGGGTGAAGCAGTAGGGGCAGAGCAGGCCTGGGAGATTCCAGGGCAAGGGCAGGCCTTGGAGAAACACACACATCCCAGAGGCAGGACACGCATGCCCTGAGCAGGCCAATAGCCTCTGAGAGAACCCAGGTGAGGGCACAGCTTCAGGGTGAGAATTAGATGGGGGAAGGCTACCATACATTCTTGGGCCAGGGATCTTCATGACATGTCTTATCATGCTGGGTTTTAGGTTCTTTTAACATGATCCTTTAATAATAATTTATAGAATGAAGAGTGGGGAAGGAAGCAAGATGTAGGAGAAAGAAGATGCGCCGTGAATTCAGACAGACACCTGGGCGTGAATCCTGGGTCTGCTGCCTGCTCGTCTGTGACTTAGGTATGTTCCTTACCTTTAGTAAGCCTCTGTTTCCTCATCTGTGAACTGGGCATGACATATGATTCATTTTTGGGCAAAGTCAGTTTTATTTAGGTAAAATTTACATACAATAGGAGTTCACCAATTAAAAAAATCCAATTCGATTTGATGAGCTTTGTTTTATATACACACACACACTTGTGTAACCACCACCACAGTAAAGATATTGAACATTTTAATTTCCTTAAAAAGTTTCCTCATGCCCCTTAATCCCCTCCCTCCACCTCTGGCCCCTGGAAATCAATGATCTGTTTTATATTTCCATAATTTTGCTTTTTCTAGAATTTCACACACATGGAAGTATGCAGTATTGTAAAGTTTATGTCTACTTTTTTTTCACTTTGCATAATGCTTTTGAAATTCATCCATGTTGTTGCTATTATCAAGAGCTCGTTCCTGGCTGGTCTCAGTGCAGCAGTGTTTACGATTACCTGTCACAGCCAGTTAGAGACCTCTTTGTTCCTTCTCCACTTCCACTGCTTCAACTGACTAGCCTTAAAATAAAAATATGAATACAATAAAATAGTTAATTCCCTTTTGTTGCTAAATAGTTTCCTATTGTATGTATATTCTACCATATATTTGTCTTTTCACCGGTTGATGGACATTTAGGTTAGTTCCAGTTTTGGGCTATTATGATTGAAGTTATTTTGAGGATTTGTACATAAGTCTTTGAGCAGACATGTGTTTTCATTTCTCTTGGTTAAAATGCCTGGGAGTAAAAGCACTGAGTATAAGTCAGGTATACGTTTAACTTTATAAAAAATTGCCATCCATTTTCCAAAATGGATGTACCATTTTACATTCTCACCAGCACAAATGAGTGCCAGTTGCTCCACATCTTTGCCAATGTTTGGTCTTATGTGCCTTTAAAATTTTTAGCCATTGTAATATGTTTGTGGTGGTAATTTATTGCAGTTTTAATTCTCATTTTTTTCTGATGACACTTTTTATGTGCTTAGTGGCCAATCATATGTCTTCTTTGGTGTGGTATCCGTTAACCTCGTCTTACTCATTCTGTATCTGGAACCCTGGGCACAATGTGAGACAGAACAGGCACACAGAGTCACTAAGCAGCACACCATGAAGCTTCTGGCCTAGTTAGCAGCTCCACAGGCCTGTAGGAGGCAAGGCCCATGAGGGGCAAGGAACAAGATAAATAAATACAAAATCATACAGAGCTGGTAAGTACAAAGTGTAGATGCTGAAAATGAGATGCAGTGAATTTGAGTCTGGAGATAATGAAAGCAAAGACCTGGACTTGAAGAGAAGGTAGAGGGTGAAGCAGTAGGGGCAGAGCAGGCCTGGGAGATTCCAGGGCAAGGGCAGGCCTTGGAGAAACACACACATCCCAGAGGCAGGACACGCATGCCCTGAGCAGGCCAATAGCCTCTGAGAGAACCCAGGTGAGGGCACAGCTTCAGGGTGAGAATTAGATGGGGGAAGGCTACCATACATTCTTGGGCCAGGGATCTTCATGACATGTCTTATCATGCTGGGTTTTAGGTTCTTTTAACATGATCCTTTAATAATAATTTATAGAATGAAGAGTGGGGAAGGAAGCAAGATGTAGGAGAAAGAAGATGCGCCGTGAATTCAGACAGACACCTGGGCGTGAATCCTGGGTCTGCTGCCTGCTCGTCTGTGACTTAGGTATGTTCCTTACCTTTAGTAAGCCTCTGTTTCCTCATCTGTGAACTGGGCATGACATATGATTCATTTTTGGGCAAAGTCAGTTTTATTTAGGTAAAATTTACATACAATAGGAGTTCACCAATTAAAAAAATCCAATTCGATTTGATGAGCTTTGTTTTATATACACACACACACTTGTGTAACCACCACCACAGTAAAGATATTGAACATTTTAATTTCCTTAAAAAGTTTCCTCATGCCCCTTAATCCCCTCCCTCCACCTCTGGCCCCTGGAAATCAATGATCTGTTTTATATTTCCATAATTTTGCTTTTTCTAGAATTTCACACACATGGAAGTATGCAGTATTGTAAAGTTTATGTCTACTTTTTTTTCACTTTGCATAATGCTTTTGAAATTCATCCATGTTGTTGCTATTATCAAGAGCTCGTTCCTGGCTGGTCTCAGTGCAGCAGTGTTTACGATTACCTGTCACAGCCAGTTAGAGACCTCTTTGTTCCTTCTCCACTTCCACTGCTTCAACTGACTAGCCTTAAAATAAAAATATGAATACAATAAAATAGTTAATTCCCTTTTGTTGCTAAATAGTTTCCTATTGTATGTATATTCTACCATATATTTGTCTTTTCACCGGTTGATGGACATTTAGGTTAGTTCCAGTTTTGGGCTATTATGATTGAAGTTATTTTGAGGATTTGTACATAAGTCTTTGAGCAGACATGTGTTTTCATTTCTCTTGGTTAAAATGCCTGGGAGTAAAAGCACTGAGTATAAGTCAGGTATACGTTTAACTTTATAAAAAATTGCCATCCATTTTCCAAAATGGATGTACCATTTTACATTCTCACCAGCACAAATGAGTGCCAGTTGCTCCACATCTTTGCCAATGTTTGGTCTTATGTGCCTTTAAAATTTTTAGCCATTGTAATATGTTTGTGGTGGTAATTTATTGCAGTTTTAATTCTCATTTTTTTCTGATGACACTTTTTATGTGCTTAGTGGCCAATCATATGTCTTCTTTGGTGTGGTATCCGTTCAAATATTTTACCCATTTCTCTCTGAGTTTGTTTTATGAATGTTGAGTAGTAAGGTTTCTTTATATGTTCTGGATACAGTCTTTTATGAGATATGTGATTTGCAAATGTTTTCTGTAATTCTGTTGTTTGGCTTTTCATTTTTTAAGTGTCTTGAAGAACAAAAGTTATTAATATTAGTGAAGTCCAATTTATTAATGTTTTCCTTTGTAATTTATGTTTCTTGTGTCTCATTTAAGAAATCTTTCCCCAACACAGATTTTTTTTTCCCTGTGCTGTCTTCTAAAAGTTTTATAGCTTTAACTCTTAATTTTAGATCTATGGGTAATCTATTCAGTGGTAATTTTTATATATAGTATGAGATAAAGGTCAAGATTCATTTTCTTATATATGGATAACCAACTGTTTCAGCACCATTGTTGACTTGGCTATTTTGTGAAAAACCAATAGGCCATATGTGTGTTAGACTATTTCTGAACCCTCTAGTCTGTTCGATTGATCTATATACCTACCTTTACGCCAATGCCACTTTCTCTTGATGGTTGTAGATTTATAACAAGTCTTGAAATCAGGTGGTTAACTCAAATGTTCTTCTTCAAAATTGCTTTACATATTCTAAGTCCTTTGCATTTCCATGTATATTCTAAAACCAACTTGTCAGTTTCTACAAAGTGCCTGCTAGGATTTTGATTGAAATTGCATTGAACTCGTATATCAATTTGGGGAGAATTGACATCTTAACAATATTGATTCTTCTAATCCTTGAACATGGTATAACTATACTTCCTTGCTTTCTCTCAGTAATGTCTTGAGGTTTTCAGTGTACATAACTTGCACATATTTTGTAAAAACTTACACTAAATAATTTAATATTTTAATGTTATTACATACAGCATTTTTATAATTTCAATTTATGATTGTATTTAGAAATACAAATAATTTTTTCATATTGACCCTGTATCTTTAAACTTACTAAATTTACATTTAACTAGTAGCTTATTTCCAAATTCCTTAAGATTTTCTGCATCAACAATTATGTCTTCTGCAAATAAAAAGTTTTATTCTTCATTTTCAACCTGTATACCATTTATTTTTCTTGCCTTATTGTACTGACTAGTCACTTCCAATATAAGCAGTGGTGAAAAGACATCCTTGATTTGTTCCTAATCTAAGCAATACAGTCTTTCACCATTAAGTATGATTTCTTATGTTTTTTTCCATAGAGGCTTATTATTAGTATGAAGAAATTTCTTTCTATTCTTAGTTTTTTGAGTTTTTTCTTTTGAAATCATGAATTGGTGTTGAATTATGTCATATGATTTTAGCTTATCTATCATTATGATTCCATGGGTTCTTATTTTTAGTTAGTGAATGTGGTGAATTGCATTGATTTTTTTTACTGATAAATTGTCCTTTCATTCTTTACTTTAATGGGATAAACTTTAATGGTTGTGATATATTTTCTTTCTTTTATGCATTGTTAGATGTGACTTGTTAAGTATTTTTACATCTGAGTTCATGAGAGTATACGTTTCTTTACTTGTAATGTCTTTGTTTTGGTTATCAGCTTAGTCTCTTCATTCATGGGCTCTGTCTGGGATCCCCCTCCTGGCACAGTGACCTGCCCACTCTTTCAAGGCAATAAGGTGGGGGCAATTATAGGACTCACCTTATTTGTTTCCTTTCTCTTGGGGATCACTATCCTTTTCCCAATCATCCCTGTTGTTTCAGGTGAAAGGATTAATCTAGTCACTTTGTGAGTTCTCGGAATTGTTTTAACTACCCGATTCCAGTGATTCTTTCCCCCTTCTCAGTGGTTTCCTTATATGTATGTGGATATCAATACAATACCACCCAAAATACAAAGAGATCCTTTTGCAGAACTTTTTAAGTGCCCTCTCTCTCTCTCGCTTTTGCTCTCTCTCCATCTGTGTCTTCTCTAGCATTATCTCTGCAAATTTTAGCCATTTTTCTCTCCCCACACTCTGAATTCAGACTTCTCAACTCAGTGAGATGGCTGGACTCTGTCTGGAACTCCCTTCTCTGCACTCTACTCTGTAAACTTGTTCCAAGTCCCAAGCCAGGATGCACCTCCTTTGTTTCCCTTCTTTAGTGGTCACTGTCCTGTACTGCCTATTGTTTAATGTCTAGAAAACATTGTTTTTACAGTTATTTAAGACAGGAGGGTAAATATGGTCCCTGGCTAGAAACAGAAATCCTAATATTTAAAGAT